CCCAACTGGATGTCAAACAGGCACCACAACTGGCTTTGTCATTGGAAAATGGCAAGTGGACCATACAAGATGCAGGAATCTGATGGAAGTGAACATCCTTGCCAGTCTGGCTGAGCTTAGCGAACACCACTTGAGTGAAGACAATCGCATAGGCTCACTCAGGGCATATCCTCAACAGTGGAACTCGAGGTCAGCCCACAACAAAACTCCAAAAACAAAGCCAAGCTACGGCCAAATGGTTAAAATTTTCTGCAGGATCTGTACTGACAAGCCATTGGAGTTGCTGCCAGCATGCAGCCTCAAGACTGCAAGAGTCCCACTAGACCTAAATTGACTAAGAGAACTCATAGCCCAATAACCAGGAAAGTGCACACCCTCGAAAATCCACCCATATCTGGTTTGGAACAGTTAAATTTCTGAGCAATTTCCAAATCAGAACCAATCAAAACAAATGTCTGGTTAAATGGTCACCTGGTTCTAATGGAGGTTGATACTGGTGTGGCCATTTCAATGTTCATTTCAAGAACCAGTCTTTAACAAAATTGGCTCTGGACAATAATCCTTAAGTTCGTACAAGACTCAGCCAGACTGAGAACCTATACCAGGGAAACTTTACAATTGGTTCAGTTACCATTGTTTGCAGTAAAAGTCTTGGGCCCAAGCTCGATGGGTCGAAGGTGGTTGAGAAGGATTCACCTAGATTGGTTCAACATTTTTCGATTAGAAAATGGCTACCTTAAGTCCTAATTGAACATCTGGAAGTCTTTCAGGAAAATCTAGGGACTATCAAAGGAGTCAAGGCCCTGCATGTTGAGCATGAAGCAATTCCACAATTCTGAAGGCCCACTCAGTGCCATTTGCCTTACGGGCAAAAGTAGAGGCAGAAATCAGAAAGCTGGGAAGTGAAAGAATCATCAAACCGGTACAGTTTGCAGAACGGGCAGTACTGGTCATACTGATTGTGAAGACTGATGGGTCAGTTTGCATCAGTGGGGATTTTAATCAAACAGTAAACAGCTTCCTCGGAGCTGGGTAAATACCCAATTCCTCACACTGAGGATTTATACACAAAATGGCAGGGGGAGGGCTGTCTGTCACGAAGCCGGACATGAGCCACATGTACTTGCGATTGCAGTGAGACGAGAATTCCCAAAAGTATGCTACAACCTATAAGGGCTTGTACCAACATGTCAGACTGCCAACTGGGGTATTGTCAGCCTGTGCAATCCTTCAGCGGACGAAGAAGGACATTTTACAAGGTCTACCTCAGGTCGCCAATTATCCAGATGACGTACTAGTAGCAGAGAAGACCAATAAAGTGCATCTTGGAGAACTTGGACACAGTCCTTAGACATTTCAGCCAGGCAGGCATACACCTTTAGAAGGGGAAAATGTGTGTTCCAGGCACCCCAAGTGATCTACTTGGGCTACAGAGTCAACAAGACTGGGTTACACCTATTGGAAGATAAAGTGAGGGTGATCAATGGTGCTCTGACTCCAACATCCTGACCGGAGATTAGGTCTTTCTTTGGGCTGGTGAATTATTATGGAAAGTTCATATGTAAACTGGTCTCCATCCTGGCACCTTTACAACAACACCAAACGGTCAGCCTTAGAAATGGTTGCCTGGACAAGCCATAGCTTTCAGGGAAGTGAAAAAACAGCTATCATCCTCTAAAGGTGTTGGCACACTATGGTCTCAAGCGAGATCTGGTATTGACATGCGATGCATCCTGGTATGGCATCAGAGTAGTATTAGCTCATAGGTGGCCCAAAGGAGAGGAATGTCCAATAGCGTAAGCATCCAGGACTTTGGCAAACGCAGAGCGTAAATACCCCCAGATAGAGAAGGAAGATTTGGCGATCATATTTGGTCATATATTCCACCAATACCTTTACAGACATAAATTTGTAATAGCAACAGCCAATAAACCTTTGAATTTTTTGATTTTATTTGATTTGACTCATCATTGTCACATGTACCTAGGTACAGTGAAAAGTTTTGTTTTGCATGTTGTACAGGCAGATCATATAATACAAAAGTGCATGAGAGTGATAGATCAGAGCAAGGAATACAACGTTACGGCTGCAGAGAAGGTGCACAAAGAGAGAGATCAACATTAAATTTAAAATTTGAGATGTCTGTTCAGAAGTCTAATAACAGCGGGAAAGAAGCTGTTCTTGAATCTGTTGGTATGTGGACAGGGTCTTTGTTTATGTTGGCTGCCTTCCTGAGGCAGAGAGAAGTGTAGGTGGACCCCGGCTGGGTCTACTTAAAGAGGGCAAAGCCATGTTGCCCATTGCTTCAGGCCGAGTTCAACGGTGGGCTCTATTTCTAAGTGTGTATAATTACAAGTTGGAACACTGTCTGGGAGGCCAAGTAGCAAATGCAGATACATTGAGCGGCCTGCTGCTGGCAGATACACCACCGGTGGTACCGCCATTAGAAGAGTATGCAATGGTTTTAAATTTTCTGGACACCTTTCCAGTCGCAGCTGACATTATGAGACTTTGGACGTAGAAAGATCCGATCCTGGCAAAACTGAAACAGCTGGTGGTGATGGGGTAAACCAAAGGGCCGTCACTACCAGAACTTTTGAAGATTTATTGGATCTGGAGAGACGATGGCATATTATTATGGGGAGCAAGAGTGATCGTCCTGAGAAAAGGTCACCCACACCCACCCCCCCACCCCCACACCACAGATAGTGGCTGAACTCTACCAGGGGTTTCCTAAATGAAGCTGTTGGTGAGAAGTTATGTCTGGTGGCCTGGACTGGACGCAGACATAGCTGCATTAGTGAGGCAGTGCCCAGAGTGCCAACAAGGACAAATATTACTGCCAGCAGCTCCCCCACATTCATGGGAATGGCTGGATAAACCCTTGTCTTGGTTACACATCAACTATGCAGGTCCTTTCATGGGCTCAATGTTCTTAGTCATTGTGGATGTTTACTCAAAGTGGCTGGATATGCATAGAGTTCATTCGTCAAACATGGGAGCGACAATAGAACAACTGTGTGCATATTTTGCAATATATGGACTCCTGGAAGTGTTGGCCACAGATAACAGGCCATTGTCTACCAGCAGGGAATTTGAGTACTTCCTAAAGTCAAATGGTATTCGACATTTGGACAGCTCTACCATCCATCGTCCAATGGTCTGGCAGAAAGAGCGTCAGGAACACCAATACCAGACACAAGATTCAGTTAAGCAAGAGAGACAGTTCACTTCAGGGGATGAAATTTGGTGTAGGAACCAAGGGAATAGACTTGCAATGTTAAGAGGCATGGTGAACTTAGGTCCAGTGACATATAAAGTTCAGATAGCTGCGATGGTCCTGAACAAGCACATGAAAGCTGCAAATCACAAATGGTACGCAAGAAAAGCATGCCCGGTTCCTCGATAGCCTTTCCCACTGTTCCAGAACCCGTGGGTTCTTCCTCTCCATCAAGTGTTGAAGATACCGATACCTTGGAATCTGAGATGGGCAGGGCATATGTCGCCATCTCGATGCCTTTCCCGCCGGAAGAAGCAAATGAATTTCTTCTGAGATGCTCCATGTGCAACAGGCAACATATTGTGCGTTACATGCCGCCCGTATCCGAGGTAGAGTCAGAGGAACCTGACCCGGTACTAAAACACCCCAGGAGGAGCTACAAAAAAAAACTGACCTATGTCCTTGGACTCAGACGGGGAGAGATATAACGATTATAATGAAGTCAGACAGGTGGACGTCAAAGAATAGGAGTTCCTTGATTGGGCCTGTTAATCTGGTCCAATCAAGGAGCTCTGGCTGACAGATAAAAACAGGAGCATCAGACATCCTGCTCACTCTAAGAACTGGCTCTGAGGGAGCTGGATCAGTGTCAAGGACATGTAAATAAAGGGTGACTTGGTGATGGGATACCAGCCTCTGGAGTTATTTCAGACTGCATTGAGAAACATCAAGTAAGTATCACTGATCAAGAACAACATCATCTTTAACTAAAGATTCTGTCCAATTTATGATTTTGTACTATTCACAGAAAGTTACAAAAATAATAAACAAACCCAAGTTGAATTCACTGACTACCACACCCTATTGCAAAGGTCAAGATTCATCTGTTATCTGATACGCGACATGACAGCCTTGTAGATGGACGATCGGTAAATCACAAATGAACAAACCCACTCTGGATACAGTCACCTCCTGCTGGAGTTCATCCTATTGACTGAAAATCTTCCTGACAGTAAATATCCTTCAAGATTTAAGGAGTTGGTACGGTATAAGTGGTCCCAAGAATGTTCAAGTTTCAACATTTGCAATACTTTTACTCCGCTGATGTTTTATATAATGTGAATAAATCACATCGCAATTTGTTACATGTTAGGAATTTCAGAGTTCCTAAAGTTTTAGTTGAAAACTTTGTTTTGTAAATATAGTCCTCAAATTGAAATTTTATATCACTGTAGTTGTATATGCAAATCCAAGAATATTGTCATGATTTGTACCTTTGGTATGGTCCAATGACCAAAAAATGTTTTTCAAAGCAGGCTTTATAAACAAGAAACTATTATTTTTCACCTTTCCTCATTAAGCAAGTTCTGGTCAGTTAATTAAAGCCTCCAAATTTGTAATTATTAAGACCATATTGAATTGCAAATTCTAAAAACAGATATCAAGAAATTTATGCAACTTAAATTGCTGGTGTTGTGAGCAATTTATTTTCCATAAAATATGAGCTGTCTCTTTCCCAGTGCACTCTATTTATATATGTTGGTTTCTGCCTTCTGGAAGCATGTTTTTCTAAGAGAGCAAAGCCAAAATAAATCTCTGACCCTTTAAGATGGAATCATTGTCAGGGGTTAGTTTTGTGTGTTATGTTGAGCTGTAACATCAGGTTTCATGGTTATAGAACCAGGATGTTCCAGAAGTAAACGACTGTCAAAACGATCCATGAGTGATACTTAAAATAATCAACATTTGAACCGGATTTCAGAATAATACAAGATGATACCTTTATATCCCAGGATGGCTACAGTAATGGTCAGCATGGCACACAGGACATAGAGCAGCAGAATAGCAAATTTCAGTGCCCAGTTATTTCTACATCGATTACACTGAGGCCCTTCCTGGATTCCTGCAACAAAAATACAAAGCTTAACATTTTTTGGCAGATATGATACTAATCTCTAACATTTATGACACTTTGTATTAAACATGTGGTGGTACAGAACTTAAATATTTTTGGAAAGAGAGACAGTCTCTAAACGTTTCCATCATTCATTCATCAGGACAACCACATGAATGCAAAAGTGCTTCTGCCTTAAAAATACTCCAAGACTCTGCTTTCACTTTTTGAGGAACAGAGTTTTAAAGACTCAAGTACCCTCGCAAGAAAAATATCTCCTCTTTGTCTTAGACAATCCCTCATTTATAAACAGTGACCCATCGTTCTATATTTTTCTATAAAATGAAATAACCTTTCCACCTCCATTCTGTCAAGATCTCTTAATTTCTTAAATATATCAAACATGTTGCTTCTTACTCTAAACTTCAGTGGATGCAAGTTTAGCCTGTCCAGAATTTCCTCATAAGATAATGTGCCCATTCCAAGTTTTAATCAAGTAAAAACCAAAAGAACTGTGGATGCTGTAAAATCAGGAACAAAACCAAAGTTGCTGGTAAAGCTCAGCAGGTCTGGCAGCATCTGTAAAGGAAAAAACAGAGTTAACGTTTCGGGTCCGGTGACCCTTCGTCAGCTTTAGTGCTTCCAACAAATTTATATTCTTCCTTAAATAAGGAGAACATTTCTCTATACAGAACTCTAGATGGAGTCTCATTAATGCTCTGTGTAACTGAAACATAACCTTTCTACTTTTATATTCAACTCCCCGAGCAATGAACATTCTATTAGCTTGCTGTGCCTACATACCATTTCCTTTTGCGATTCATACACTACAAGATCCCTTGCACCTCAGAGCTCTGCAATCTCTCACCATTCAAATCATACGCTTATTTTTTTAAAAATTGAAAGAACTGCAAATGCTGTAAACCAGAAACAAAAACTGAAATTGCTGGAACAGCTCAGCAGGTCTGGCAGCATCTGTGGAGAGGAATAAGAATTAATGCTTTGGGTTGAGTGACCCTTCCTCAGAACTGTGAGGAAGGGTTACTCGACCGGAAACACTAACTCTGAATTCTCTCCACAGATGCTGCCAGACCCGCTTATTTTCTTTCCTTCTTGCCAAAATCAACATTTTAACTTTTTCCTACATTATACTCCATTTTCCAGATCTTTTCCCACTTAATTCACTTCTCTAAATCTCTCTGTTGCCTCCGTATGTCCCATTCACAACTTACTTTGCTGCCTATCTTTGTGTTATCAACATGTTTACCAACCATACCTTTGGGCCCTTTATCCAAGTCATTTATATAAATTGTAAAAGTTTGAACTTCCAGCACGGATCTCTATGGCATATTGCTCATTATATCTTGCCAACTAGAAAATGAACAATTTATGGCTATTCTTTTTTTCTTTCCTGCTAGCCAGCCAATCTTCTCTCAGTGCCAATATGATACCCCTCTAACCATGAGCTCTTCCTCCCTTCCATTTCCTGATTTACAGCTATCTTTGGGATGTTACTTATAGACTCTACAATGAAGACCACAGCAAAATGCCTGTTCAATTCATCCACAATTTCTTTATCTTCAATTATTAATTTTGCAGATTCACTTTCTAGATGGCCAATGTTAACTTTGTCAGCTCTATTTTTAGCTATCTTTTAAATCTCTTACCATCTGTTTTTATATTTCTAGCTAGTTTTCTCTTGTGTTCTAATATTTTCCTCCTTCTTAATTTTTTAGTCGTTCTTTGCTGTTATATTTCTTGTTTAATTTTCTGAATCATCATTCATTGTTGCACAATCAAATGTTTTTCCTTTAAGTCGTGGGTCTTCCCCTTTAAATTATTCCATCTCATTGAAATATCTCTATTCGGTTTATTCTTAAATATCCTGTTAAATGTCTGCCAGTGCATCTCTATGGTCCTATCACTTAACCTAATTTTCTACTTTATTTTAGCTAGTTTTGTTTCTATGCCCTCATAACTGCCCTTATATAAATTGAAAATACTAGTCATGGCTCCACTCCTCTTTCTCAAACTGTAAACACAACAGAACTGCAGAAGGGTCATTAGACCTGAAACATTAACTCTGATTTCTCTCCACAGCTGCCGCTGCTAGATGTGCTGAGCGATTCCAGCAATTTCAGTTTTTGTTTCAATCATATTATGGCCACTACTACTTTGGAACTCCTTCATTAATCCCATCTTGTTGTCCAAACCTAAGCTTAGTATAGCTTGCCTTCTGGTTATCTCTAGAATGTGCTATTATAAGAAACGATTTTGAAACATTCTATGAATTTCTCAAGGCTATCGATGCCCACCTGCTTTTTCCAGTCTTTTTGGAGATTAAAATAATCTATGATTATACCAGTAACTTTCTGACACGCTACTGTTTCTTTTCTCCTCACAGTCCATCGTACATATGGCTACTGTTCAAGGACCTGTACACCACTCTCCCAAGTGACTTAATGCCTTCAAAACCACTCATCTTTACCCAAAACGCTTTTATGCCTCACTTTCCTGAACTTACTGTATTATCGTGCTAATATTAGTAGAGCCACTCCTCCACATTTTTCTAGCTTCCTCTCTTTGCTAAATATCATATCCCCTTCAATATTCAGATTTCAATCTTCTGATACCCTGCAGCCATTTCTCTGTAATGGCAATCAAAATGTACTAATTTATTTCTAATTATGCTATCATTCCATCTGCTTTATTTTGAATGCCATGTTAATTCAGATATAAAACCTTTTAGTTTTATTATTTTTAAATCTCTAGCCTTATTAGTTAATTTACTTTTAAATTTGTGCTCTGTAACCCTTTCTGTCGCTGTTTGTTTAGCATTTCCCATATCAATACTTTTCTTTGTTGCCTGGTTTCTACTCTTTGAATTACCACAGTTTCCCAAATTTGATTTGTTATCCACTGTTAATTTAGTTTAAAACCACTTCTATTTATCTAGTTGTGCAGCTCGCTGGAATGCAAGTCCCATCATAGTTCAGGTGTAGACTGTCCTACTCTCCCCAGTACTTGTGTCAGTGTCCCACATCTACAATGCTGGTCTTCCTGTCAAGTCAGAAATCAAATGACACCAGGTTATAGTCCAACAGGTTTATTTGAAAACTCAAACTTTCGGAGTCTCAGTCCTTCAGTATTAGACACAGAATTTATAAGTAAAAGAACAAAGGTTCACATCATTGATGAGGATGTACTAAACAAACCTAAGATGCTGTTAAATCTTTAATCAGTTAGAAAGTTTTAGTTGATTAATATGTAAATCCCCAAATTCCTTTCAAGTCACGGTCCTGAAAGAACTAAAGGTTTTATCAGTGTAAAGAAGTGACATTTTAGGTCAGACAATGTATATTAGGTGTGAGACTTTGTTTAGAGTATGTTTGCATTTTAGTTTGGAGTCAGACTAATTTTATTTGTAATGTAGGAATTTAGAAAATTTCACATTGTCTATAAATTGTGGGCTCTTTGAACAAAATAAAATGCATCTACAAATACAAATTCACCCCTAGATTCACGTGTTTGTGTGTGTGTGTTTGTGTGTGTGCATGTGTGAGAGACACAATAAGGCTGGGGAGAGAGACAGTGTGTGTGCGTACGAGGCAGAGAGAGAGAGAGTGTGCATGTGCATGTGTGTGTGCGCACGCGGGTGGGGGCGGGAGAGTGCATGTGCGTGTGTGCATGCACCTGAGAAAGTGTGTGTCTGTGTGTGAGTGAGGAAGGACTGAGGCTCCAAAAGCTTGTGTTTTTAAATAAACCTGTTGGACTATAACCTGGTGTCGTGCGATTTCTGATCTTGTCCAACCCAGTCCAACACCGGCAACTCCACATCAAGTCTCTCAGCTCTACATTAGTTTCCCAAACCTAATTTGGCCAGTGCAAATTTGTATTTGCATCAGGTAATAATGCACAAGTCATCACCTGTGAGGATCTGCTTCTTAATTTGGTGTTTAACTCCTCATGCTATCAAGAACTTTCTTCCTTGCTTCCCTTCCCACTGTACCCTCGTTTGCAGCTCTGAGCAGGTATCTCTAAGCCCTGGCACTAGGCAGACACAGTGTTAATCCCCTTCACCATACTATTCCCTACTACCAGGACATTACTCTTCATCCTCCTCATTAAGAAGCTGTTCTGTACCATAGCGTCATGATCAGTCAGTTTATCAATTCTACAGCCCTTGCTCTCATCCAAACAAATTGAGCAATCTCAAACTTGTTGGATAATTGCACAGATGGAGGCTCCTGATTCCTTCTTTATGCTTTCATGGTAAGGTCAGCAATTGTTATCCATCCCTAACTGCTGTTGAACTGCATGGTTTATGAGGCCATTTCAGAGTCAACCATTAAACTGTGGTTCTGGATTCACATGTAGGACAAACCAGGTGATTATGGTAGGTTTTCCTTCCCTAAGAGGCACTAGTGAACCAGATAGGTTTGTTTTTTTAAATGGCAATTACCAGCTTTTATTTCCCCCTTTAATTCCAGATTTATTAATGGAATTCAAATTGTCCCATCTGCATGGTAGGTTTGGAACCCCAATTCCCAGGACCTGGGTCTCTGGAATACTAGACAATTCTACTATGCCATCCCATTTCCTCCTGGCCTCTGAGTCACTTTTCCTGCCTCAGCTGCAGCCACAGTCTCCTGTACCTGGCCATTGATCAAAACAGAAGACTCTATTCCAAACAGTGTGAATGCTTCCTGGTTCAAACTATTCAGGTAACATTCCCTCTCCCTGACGTGTTGCAGTGCCTGCAGCTTAGCCTCCAACTCATAACACTGGAGCAGAAGCTGCAGAATAATGATGTATTTGGTATGATACAGATATCCGTTATACATAATGTTTAGCTTTCTAATATTTGATTTGTAATTAGCCACAACTCAGTGGATGGTTTTAACTTGTTTGGTGGTGGCTCTAGTAACATGTTGCGTTGACTCTAAACCTCAGAAGATAACCTATTGGCCCCACCGTGTGTACACAGCCTAACCTAGGTCTCCCTGTCG